GGGAAAGACACCTCATTTTTTTCAGTTTTATTGAAGGCGTTTCAAACATTTTCATTATGACACATTTCAGAAAACACATTAAAGCAAAGAGTTTCAATCCAGCTGGTTCATAGCTTTGTCTATATATAGTTTATGAAAATATTTAGAAGTGCAGCAACATCTCATTTTGTTCTTAGTTCTGGCTAATGAGAGTGAGCTGAAAATTCATCAGTAAGCAAAGTTCTTGAATGTTGAAGAAAATATATATTTTATATATATACATATACAGGAAGAATTAACTTAGAAAGAATGATTAGTAATACAAACCAACCCTTGGCTCATTGAGTGAAAAAGAAATCGTCATGCAAACCATCAGCAAGCAAAGGTCAGAGGTCGTTAGAGGCTCAGAAAAGGGGTTTCCCACATTGTCCCTGCAGCAGAGTCACAGTTTCCAATGATCACTTTTGTGACTATGCAACTGGGCTCATATTACTAGCTGCAACATCACAAAAATGACACTGGCAACCGCTAATTAGCTGGCAAAATAAGAATTTGTCCATTTTTAAAGTGAGCAGTGTTAGTAAATGCCATTGCACACAGCGAGAAGTGATAGCATAATAGATATATATTTTAAGCAAAGCCCTCACATGTGATGCTAATTATCTTTTAGCTTAGCAGTCCCTCTTTAAAGTGTAAATGTGCTCCCTCTGGGCTCAAGAAATATTTAATTACACATATCAGTGCATGACTAACAAGCTAGTCCAGAGCAATAATGATTGGTCTATTGTTCAAAATGAAATTAGGACTCCAGAAGCATTTAAAACTGACCAGTGGTTTCTGTAGTAGCCTCACCTCTCAGGGACTGTCTTTTGCGCAGATTTTAAAAATATATAGTATAATACCTTTTTGGTATTTTACACCTACATTATGAAAGTATGATTGATTATTCCGCAAGGTTTAATGTATCTGCTAAATGCAAAATCATCTAAAACACTGTCTGATACACAGTAAGAAAAATGTAAGCTTTCAGTTTTCAAAGAGACTTGCAAAATTTACTTGATAAAAATTTTAAGGTCTACATTTCCACAGACTCTGGGCAAGGTAATTTTGGGAATCCAATTTTTCTTGGTGATGAATTATAAAAAATAGAGGGTTGGTTATGTATATGCTTAATTTCATATATGTATGTGAATATATAAATATACACACATATCCATATATATATACAAACACACTGAATGCACATAAAAACAGATAGGTTAAAAGAAATGAGAGCAGCCCCTTCCTAGCACTACCCTACTACAAGTATGGTAGTGCTGTCAGATGTTTATTCTGGGGGCTTTATGACTCAGCTGTCATAATCCAGCAGAGTTTTTACTTTAAATAGGAAGCTTCAGGTACAAAGCATGTATTGTATAAATGAATTCCAAACACATTATTTTAGCTGTAGTGCATTAGTTTTTTGCCATTAAAAAACCAGCAACATCAGATGACCAAGAAAACTGAGATTCATAGACCAGCTATTGTGCATGCCAAAATTCCTTTTCAGGAGGAATTTTACGATGCATTCAGTATTATGAGTTCATTGTACAAAATCTGCACGTAGCAAATGATTACAGTACCCTACCCTGGACTGTGAATACATATTAAATGAACACTCAGAATTCAATTAAATCTTAACAGGTTCATTCCTAGACTGGCTTTAAATACAAAGAATAGCAGCTCCACTGCTTTTCTCATTGAATGACAATTTCTCTTTTTCAAAGTACTGTACAACACTTCTTCAACATTTAACCCTTACACGAGGTCACCCTAAACAGTTCTGCTTTCTTGGTGATGTGAACTGTGACTTACTGCAGACCTAACCCTGCAACTCATGCAGGCACCTCAATTCTGAAGCAAGTCGAGGTACTCCAAACTTCAGGTGCCCTGGCTGTACAGGCTCATTCATAGTCTAGTTAGAATTGCAAGCAGGCTTCCCTCTAACTTCAAACTGAGCAAAATGAGACTTTGTGCTGGCCCTGTGCTGCAGCCTCATGTGGCTTAATGGAACCAACTCAGAATTTTCACTACAAATATTCACCATAGGTAACTTCCTCAGTACCACAAACCAAGGAATCCCACTGAAGTTTGAATCCAGAGCAGCAAACCTTACATTCATACCTGGTCCTAGCTCCTAGTGACTTGGTGCAGCTGTTCTCCTTTACCTGATGTGCACCCTGTGAGATGACTCTCTGCACTGAACAGCCTTGCAGTACATCCAAGAATACTGATACTGAAGGATGCAACTTAGTCCTAAATTTTTAAGGGTAAAATTTTGCCAACAGACAACTGGGCATCCAGCTCCCTTTGGATACACTCCAGCTTCTCCCCTCAGGTGCTGATGCACAACTCCGAATGGCGCCAGTCAGAGCTCCCCGCACTTATTGAAAAAAAACCCACCAAGTTTGGACCTTGTGAGCTCTGATAATCACTCTGGGGGCTTGTAGATAATATTGCAATACAGGGAAGAAAACATGTGATCCCACATGGGCCGCTTGCGGATTGAGAACCAACTCCCCAAACCTCCCGGAGATTCTTTTCATTAGCCGGGAGCGCATTGCTGTGGATTAGCTGCCGCAGACTAACACCTACACACCGTGCGCTGAGCACGGTTTGCAATCAAATGAAGATTATTTCGCTCCAGCATTTATCATGCATGGCTTTAATTTTCAAATTAAAATTTAGACAGACACAGCAAACATGAGAGAATGCAGCAAGGACTTTCACAGGTTGTGCCTTTGTGTATTTGTATTTTAAAGCCACACTGACTTTCTTTAAAATTCCAGAGAGTGTGCTTTGTCAACACTTTCATCTGCTTTCTCAAATTTCCACCTTCCTGCAGCCAAAGAAAGTCTAGAGACCTCCCTGTTTGATCCTTATGAGCAAATGTTCCCATGGGAATGCTGTTATTGTCATATGACTACATCATGATATTTGTTCAACTATGTTCATACTATTTAATGTATTTGTGAGATTCCTGCAATAAGGATCATATGGGAACCACACAAAAAGCCTGGAAGTTGCAGAACAGATAAGTACTTGGAAAACAAAGAAATACAGGAGCACTGAAGAGCTGTACAAAGGCAAGAAGATCTCTAACTGGGAAACGAGTATGTCTTAAAACCAGGCAACATCTGTATGGGAGACACTAAACATCAACCTACTGCAGATTTTTGTGTTAGTGTAGCATTGTGGCACCACAGACTGAGGAACACGCTTTCAAACCAGAAATATTTAAAAAGAAACTGTTAAAAGGGCTACTTTAGTTCCTCAGATCTCCATCATTTTAAAAGAACTGTCATACTTTGTGCTTTACCTGCGGAAATCCAGAAGTGATCTTGTGGAAGCAGGAACCCTCTGATCATTCCAGCTGAGGAAGTGGAACTGTGTCACTGTGCGGGTCTCGTTCGTCTGCAGGTTCTTCAGGTAGAAGCTCCTCACAAGGAAATCCTCACACCAGATGTGCTCGGATACAAGGTTTACCTACACCCCATAGGAAGGAACAAAGAGAGATCAGCCATTTCGGTTGCAAGTCATCTCTTCAGGACTGCAGGTGTAAGAAGTCTTGGATGAACTGCATGAAAGCTTTATTTTTATCGACAAATTGGCCAGTGCTAGGAAAAAAAATTAAATAAAAAAATAATGTAACTATCAGTGTTGTTGTCAGGAAGGGGTGAGCTGACCCTGCTGATATATTGAAAACAAACAAAAAAGCTCTCAAGAGTTTTAATGCAAAAGGAAAAATCACTAAGTTGAAACTTTAAATTGCTACATGAACATAAAAGCCACTGCCTGAAAATATGTTAAACTGCCAGTTGTTTTCTAGTTGGAAATGCCTACAATGTATGTCCAGGATACTTTCAGAGGTCTGAAAAATCTCAGAGTTAAATTCACTGAGAAGTGAAAAGTCAGTATCTTCTGCTGTGTAGAAAATTAAGCATAAAATTGCAACTGATTTGCAGAGTTCATATTTTCAGAAATAAGTTTGTTCACATTTTGCTTTAAATAAGTATTTCTTCATGTTTTCCTGTTCTTGGTATTTGGCACTGTGGTACTATTTTCTTCTTCTACTCAGCTGGACAACTGGAAAAAACTGACATCTGACAGCCATTATCAACATCACACTGCAACAACACTGGTGATAGGCTATTTTGGGCTGGAAATGTAAAGCAGAAAATAAAAATGTATATTTGTTGTTATGACTGAAATAAGAGGTAAAAATAGATAGGATTAGTTACTAAAGCTGTATAGAGGCTTCTCTACAAGGATATACATATGGTTTTCCTAAGGCAAAATTCACTAGTTCTAAAATGACTCTTTTCCTATAAAATATAAAACACATGGTTTCACATTTCAACCACTTATAAAACTGTTTGAAAAACAAAACTGTTTTCCTTTTTTCATTGTAGTACTTGGCTCATTCTTTACTAGATTTTATTCAGTGGAAACCCACCTTGCTATTAAAACTGTGCTTGAATTTTTCACGAATCAAAAAATCTACTGGAAGGCACACGAAGAGTATTTAAGAGCCCTCAGCTCAACCTTCAGGTTAGATTGGCTGAAGCACCGTTTTGCCCTGTAGGAAATCAACCCATAGACTTACTGTCACACATACAATCAGATATTTTGTTTAGGTACCTCGTAGATGTGGTAGAGGTTTGACCCTTCGTCTGGCCAGTAGTGGTAGCACTGTTTAACTCCGTTTTCTGTGAGGGGTGTCAGCATGACAATAACGACACAGCCGTTCTCCCAGACCATCTGCAGACAAAGAAAGACACCGTGGCCACATTGTGACTGCCTAATTACTGCGTGACATGTATAATTACTGCACTCAGACACACAATCAAAATTTATTCCATTCAGAGGAAATTTATTTCATTTTCATTAGACACTTTTACTCTGCAGCTGCTTTCAAAGCCCTGAATAAACTGGCACCGTATCTTGCAGGCATCCATGAAATATTAAAGAATTTCCAGTGATTTCAATTCAGGTCTTCCACAAAATCTCTCCTCATTCCTGGTACTGTGCTTTACTGTCAAACTTTTAGATCCACAAAAGGGATCACTGCATGATGCTTGCAGAACACATAACTGTCCAGGATTTGACATTTAATCCTTTACAGTATGGACCTACTAAAGTCACATGTACTGAAACCTGTTTGTGTCCCCAACCCTGTGTTGTTTTTACAGTTTGCCATGTAGCAAAAACTATTAAAGTGCTGCATTGCCGAGACAATCATAGAAATTGCATCTAAACAACAGAAATGAGGAAAAGGCAGGAAAAACCCAAACAAAATCTGTTCTTCCAGAAACATTTCATATAGAGAAATCATCCCTCCAGAAGGACATTTATAAAAGATTTGTTGCAAAAGTGCATTTCCTTCCTTCCTTCCTTCCTTCCTTCCTTCCTTCCTTCCTTCCTTCCTTCCTTCCTTCCTTCCTTCCTTCCTTCCTGTTTTACTGTCCTAGACGATATCTGGATGATTGAAATTCCACATGAGAGCAATAGATTGCAATTGAGGGGCTTCTGATCGTTGCCTATAGCAAACTCCACCACCATCTTACTTTTCATCTAGATTTTGAGGCAGAGATGCTCAACCAGCAGGTCTCCAGTCTCACACTGTAGCTCTGCACAAAGTGCCCTGCTATTCACAGATGCATCCTCCCTCCCTCCCTGCCTCCCTCCCTGCCTTCCTGCCTGCCTGCCTGCCTGCCTGCCTCCCTCCCTCCCTCCCTCCCTCCCTCCCTCCCTCTCTCCCTCTCCTCCCTCTCCTCCCTCTCCGTTTTATTTTTCTGTCACAGTTTTCCTTATTTTTTGGGTCTTTCTCCCCCTCCAATTCATTCACCCCTCTTGTATCCCCCTTTTCCCCTTTTAAGTTCAGCTTTTCTTTCCTCTGGGGGCAGAAGGCAAGTCCCACTCACAGAGCACAGATACTGCAGGGCCAGAGGAAAACAGTGTATATTCACTACCAGCCCCATGATCACTTAATAATTTTGACCAGCTCCAAAGTATGATACAGAAATCCAGTGCATCCTCAACTAAAGGTTCTGTGAGTGTCTCTCAGAACCAGGAGAACAAGCAGAGATGCTCTGGTCTAGCACACCTCTTTTTCCAAACACAGCCCGTGGTTGAACAAAAAGGCTCCTATGAATTAATACCAAGCAGGATAATCACTAAAAACTGTTATTATTATGCTGTACATTGATGTTATATTTGCATACAACTTTCATTGTCTTTTTGCTAGCATATAAAATTACTGAATGAAGGATAAACTGCTCTTTTTGTGAAAGCTTATGTTTATTGCACAGCAATATTTATAAGCAACTGTATTGACATGTAAATTTTGTAAACAAAAAAGGCCTTTGTCTAAACTGTGCAAAGATGAGATGATACATTTGATTCAAGGATTATTTTTTTTTTTTAAATTACATATCAAATAAAAAGGTTTCCCATTCATGGGTAATGATGTTGTCTTCTCTTTTAAGAATAGCTGGCATATAGAGAAACAAATAACGTTTTTATTCCCCTTTTTTCCTCTCATTTTGCAACATAATTGGAACAACTTTTAAAACCAGCTTAGAATTATTTAGAGAAAGGAATCTAGTGTTTACACAGAATAGAGTTATTTATAATTTTGAACAGAAGTGGGGAAAAAAAATTACAGTTGAATGCTGTGAATAAAAATAATCTTTATCTTATTTTTTTCCCCTCAAATATATTTTCTAAGTAAAAATATCTGTAGTTCACTCATCTTCCTGTTAAAGACTCACAATGCCAGAAAAACTGGCACAAATACTTTGATAATTTATTTTATAGACTGATGTACATTTATCATTCGTACCTTTTTTTTCATATTGCATTTGTTTTAGGCCACAGCTGAGAAGCTTCTTTGTATGTAAGGAAGATGACACAGATTTCATTCATTCTAGCATAGTTTCACCTTTTTTAGTCAGCGATCAGGCTAGGATAAGAATTCAAAACATGTATCTTACTTGAAAACTAGCCCCACTAAACCAGCACTCTCATCACATAACGACTTAATGTGCCTCTAGAAGGTATAGGAGCTCATCGAAGCCATTACGAAAATGAGGAGAAACACAGTTTTTATGAGTGTAATAAAAATACAATGATCTAGACCATAAACTAATCATCTAGCACTCTGCTTGCGCCACCCAAGTGTAACATTATAAAAGCCCACTCGTTTAGAGAGGAATCCTCACAGTTTGGCAACCCTGCTCATTGGTTCAACGATACAACATTTCATTAGAGAGGGGCTGTCTGCGTCTCTGAAGATTTCATTAAGCATAAATCCAAATGAAAGTTAATTTAAACAAACAATTTCAAAGTTACTCTGGGGTATAATATTTCTTTTAGGTCATTGTGTGCAAATGTACAAGTCAGATCTTCTAAATCAATAAAGCAATACCATCTAGTGCCATCATCCCTGGTACAACCAATTGTCACTCCATCTCCTGTGCCTACCATCGAGAAGGGATTTTTCACTAAGACTCACAGCCTCTGATGGGAGACTTCAGCATTTCCTTTGTTTCCTTAATAACTTAAATATTAGACCATCGGGCTGTTATCTGGATATTTTTCTTTTTTCCAAATTAAGCAGAAGTTGGATAAGTCAGAGGCAGTTCACAGAGGTTTATACTGTTGCCTGTTAACCAGCCCCTTTAAGCTGGTGATGAGTTTTTCAGAATCTGCGTCTCCCAACATGTAACACTTCACTGTGCACTGTGTCCAGACATGGTCACACACTAGAAAGCACCCTCAAGAAGGGTCTGTGTAATGAAGAAGCAGGTAGCACAGACATGGTCTGCACAGTCCCAGTGTGCAGACTTCAGAGAAGCACCTCTAGTCACCAAAGAGACATTTTAGATGGGCTCAGAGACCAAAGGCAGAGATTCAGTTGCAAATGCAGAGTAATTCACGTATTTCTGAACTTTCTATGCTTGCAATAGAAAGTAACTAAATGTATGTGATATACAAGAATAAAGAGTATATAAGGTCCATAGGGGTTTTTAGGTACAACCCAGCAAAATTAAGCCTTAGACTCTGTTAACTACTATTTTGGAAATGACCATCTAAAACTAAACTTATTTAGATCTTTTAGGAAGTTTAATATTTGTAATTTATAGTAATATATCCAGGACAAGAAGAAATGTTGAATGGAGCCTTCTGAGTGGAAGTGATAAAGTCTGAGTTACATACAGGAGCTGACTGCAGAGTTTTGCAATGTATTCTTTGCTGAAAAGGGAAGAAGACAGTGTACAGTTCCCTGTGACATGTCTACCTTCAGTCTATCTGCCTAGAGAGTAACATCTTAATGATCTTTAATCAGGTTCTGTTGTATGCTCAAAACATGTATTAGATAAGAATAACACCATCCCTTTCCATTTATTGCAAATTAAAGGCTGAATTTTGCAACCCAAAGATGAGCAGTGCATTTGACATCCACAGAATTCCTTGTTGATGAAATCCACCATGTGTAGAGACCTCATGCTGTGGTTATCCAGCATGTCAGTCCCACACAAAGGACTTCCGCATTGGGATGAATTATATTTTGCAAGAATTACTTGCAAAGAAGCACAAAATTGGTTTTCAAGGAGAAAAATAAAGTCTCAAATAGGAGAATCAGTGTTACAAAACTCACAAATCTGGTAAAACACCAGTTTTGGAAGGCTTATATTTTACTAGCTTGTAAAGGAAATAGTTAATATGAATCTATTTTTTTTTTTTTTTTTTTTTTTTTTTTTTTTTTTTTTTTTTTTTTTTTTTTTTTTTCCAGACACTTCATAATTTTGAAGCTTCTTTTCACAACAGATGATCTACCTCAATTCCCTATTTCAGTAATTTTCTTTTTGAATTTTATTGATATGGAAATTACAAGATATGTGCTCCAACCAGACACTTGTTTTGATGGGGACCTGTGGAGAAGTTTCTAAAATGTGATGACTTAAAAGCAGAAATCCTGTTCACTATAAAAATCAGGTTAATCACACCAGGTTCCCTCTGGAAGAGATCTTCTGCAAAGTAAAGAATCCATCTTTTTTGTCTTTTAGACTTCCCAAATAGTTGGTAAATGGAACTATTTGGAAAAGTAGACAAACAAGTAAACAAAACCCAAATAATATCTAATGATAATAAAAACTCAGCATGAATAAACTCCTAAAACAACAACAAAGCAAGGTACTAACTCTTGCTGGATCAGGTATTATTCATCCCACCAGTTATCTTGAAATTAATTAACTTAACTGTGACTTCTTTCAAGTTCTCCATTAGAAATGGGAAACACTGTATTGAATGGAGACAGAAAATGGAACATTCTGGAATGTTTTAAAACCCACAGCCAATGCTCACATAGTGGATTAAAAAAAAGAGTCAGAGCTTTTAACTAGAAAAAAAATCCCAACAAGCAGAACTGGGGGGTGATTTTTTTTGTTATCAACTAGAACTTCACAATATATGCCAGTCAAAAAGCAACATTTTTTAGCTAAATGTTTTGTTTGAAAATGATCATTTTGATATGAAGTGGATCAAATATGGCAAGGTCAGAGTTGCCACTAAAAAAAAAATCATAGCTGTGCCAGACAGCTAAGCAATTCTGTAGGCTGAAAAATTAACTAGCAACTATCTATGTTTAATTAAAACAAATTATCTGACTCTTGCAGTTGAAAAGATGGCTTCTGAGGGAACCATCTATAAATATGTGGTAGGGAGGCTGGCTCCACATGTTATGTTCCTGCTGTTAC